TGTTGGAGGCATGGAAGCGATTTCGTGCTGGTCTGCAAGCATTGACGGATTTGAAGCTCGAACGCCTGGTAGTTTCGCCTCGGAGGATTGCAGTCGAAATACACGCCTTCTCTGATGCAACTTTGGAAGCCTTCGGAACGTGTGTTTTCCTTCGAAGCATTCATGAAGACAATACGGTGGAACTCCACTTACTGGTCAGCAAATCTCGGGTAGCATCCAAGGGTACTATTCCTAGACTGGAACTGTGTGGCTTTCAGCTCATGGCAAGGTTGGTTACGCAAGTGGCAACGGCACTCAAGATGGATTTTCGACGAAAGATGATGTGGTCAGATTCACAAATAGTCTTGTGCTGGGTACGAAAGAACTTACGTCTTCCTACGAATACGGTTATGTTAGGTCGAGCGATAATCCAGCAGACCTAGTGTCACGAGGTCTCGATGCGAAGGCACTAGTTCAGAGTCAAGTTTGGTGGCACGGGCCAGAGTACCTACGGCAAAATCAGTACGGAGAAGAGGTTCCGGAAGAAGTGAAGGATCTACCAGAAATGCGGGTTGCGATGTTGGCAAGTTTGTCCATGACCGACATGCCTGTACTTACGAAGTTCAGTTCCTTCAGACAGCTGCAGCGTGTGATGTCTTACGTTATCCGTTTCTACAATAAGGCGACGAAACTCAGGATGGTAGGTGATGATTCGAAATACGTTACAGTCAAGGAGATGAGATTGGCCCTTAGCGCAATCGTCAGAATGGTTCAACAGCAGCAGTTAAGCGAAGAAATACAGCAGATCGAGAAGGGTCAGAAGAACGAACAATAGGGAAGATATGTAGGAAGACTACGAAGCCTGAATCCGTGGATGGATGAAAATGGAATCTTGCGGGTTAACGCAAGAATCAAGCATGCCAACGTGTGCTACGATCAGCATCCAGTGACAAAGTTATTGATACAAGCTATTCACAACGAGAACCTTCACGTTGGTCCAAGTGGTACCCTCTCGATTATCAGGCAGCGTTTCTGGATTATCAACGGTCGGAACGCTATCCGACAACAACTCCGGAAGTGTATAGTGTGTTTCAAGGTCAATCCAGTGGATAGCAAGATCTACATGGGAAACTTACCAAGCTACAGGGTGACCCAGGCACACCTTTTTCAGCGTACGGGGATAGATTTTACGGGACCTATTTACGTTCGGAAGGGACACCCACACTGAAAATAAAATTTTGTTTATACAACGAAATCGCTCGTTTGTTCTACGAATTTATTCGTTGTTTTCTGCAACGAAATAGATTTGTACATTGTATGAAGCTAGTTTCGTTAGAACTGCCACACTCGCTATCGCTACACCCAACCAGCGGGCCACAAGTGTTGGTTGTGGAAACCGAAAAATGTGGAGTGTGTGAGTGAGGATGGGTAAAAATAACTTCATCATTGGAAGGAATAAATATGACAAAAAAATAAAAATAAGTTTCAGACCGGACTCGACTCATGAACCTTGCGATCGTCAGCTTTGTGCTTTATCCATCGCTCTATCTGTGCTATGAGAAATGGTAAAGCTAAAGGCAAATAATAAGCACTCATGGAACGATAATTCGATTACGCTTGCTTTTTCTGCTGCTTGCAAGTATTTTTTTTTTCTCTAACATAAAACCACCAAGACGAGTAATTTGATTTATTGTTGTAGCTCGCATGTATTGGTCAAACCGACAATATTTCTAAAAAAAAATGTCCCATCACCAACACACAATCAGCACTTTAGGAGACAATAAGCGCAGTTGTTGGTTTGATTGTACGAAGATGTATTTGTATATTATACGAATAAGGTGTAATATTGACATTGCGCCAGATGACAGGAAAAACGAATGTTTCGTACCATTTATGAAAGATGTGTTGTATGTACGATATTCATTTTTACGAAACGGTTTTCAGAGAAATAACGAAAATACATTTTCAGTGCAAGGAAGCCAGTCTACGAAAAAGGATACATGGCATTGTTTATATGCATGGCGACAAAGTGCATCCATATAGAACTTGTGTCAAACCTTACGACAAGTGCCTTCATAGCAGCTCTGCATAGGTTCGTTGGTCGTCGCGGGCTTCCATCCGACATCTTTAGCGACAACGCCACTAATTTTGCCGGCGCAAGCTCAGAACTGCATGAACTTCACGTACTTCTGCGTCAACAACAGACAATCCAAGCCATCGAGGAATTCAAAATGCCACGAGAGATTAATTGGCATTTTATAACTCCACGATCACCACACGTAGGAGGTTTATGGGAGGCTGGTGTTAAATTAGCAAAATACTTCCTGAAGCGCACAGCAGGAGAAGCTAAACTAACCGAAGAAGAGTGACATACGTTGCTGGTTCAGATTGAAGGCTTGCTAAACTCACGCCCTCTGATAGCACCGTCTTCCGATCCAAGCGACTACAACGTGATTACACCGGGCCATCTGCTGATTGGAACCAAGCTACGATAACCTCAAACCGGGAACACTCTCTAGATGGCAGCACATTCAGAAAATCTTCCGTCCAATGGCCATTCAAGTCCATGTTTATGTCACGACCCCAAATTATTTCTTATAACACAGTTCCACGTGTGTTTTTGAAAAAAAAAAACGATGAGCTCTCCTATCAGTTTTATGGATTGACCATTTTTCGGATGTTCCAGATCTTCCAGACGACGGTCCCATGGCCATCCAGGTTCATGATTATGTCATGACCCCAAATTCTTTCTTATAACACAGTTCCAAATTCTTTCGAAAAAACCGTGGAGCTATAGAATCAGTTTTGTGGATTGACCATTTTTAAGGATGTTCCAGATCTTCCGGAGGTCCGATGTTACAACCCCCAATTAATTTATATATGACAGTGTCAAGTATTTTCGAAAAACCGCAGAGCTCTAGGATCAGTTTCGTAGATTGATTACTTTTACGGATGTTCAGGATTTCTCGTATGACGGTCCGATGGCCATCTGGATCCATGTTTATGTCACGACCCCAAATTTTATCTTATATCACAGTTCTTGATGTTTTAAAAAACACGGAGCTCTAGGATCAGTTTCGTGGATTGACTACTTTTACGGATGCTCCGGATCTACCGGAGGACGGTCCCATGGTCATCAGGGTCCATGTTTATGTCACGATCCCAAAATCATTCTGTCATCAGTGTTCCTAGAATTTTTCAAAAACTGCGCAGCTCTAGGGTCAGTTTCATGAATTGGCCACTTTAACGGATGATCCGGATCTTCAGAAGGACCGGTCTCATGGACAACCGGATCCATGTTTATGTAGCGACCCCAAATTATCACTATTATCTCAGTTCCAAGTGTGTTCGAAAAAAAACCGCGGTGATATAGGAACAGTTTCATTGATTTACAACTTTTACGGATGTTCCGGATCTTCCGGAGAATGATTCCATGGCCATGTTTATATCACGTTCCCAAATTATTTCATATATCACAATTCATAATGTTAAAAAAAAACCTCTGAGCTCTAGGATCGGTTTCGTGGATGGACCACTTTTTCGGTAGTTCCGGATCTTCCGGAGGACCGTTCCTTCGTCTCCAGGATCCATATATTGGAACCATGACTGTATTCTGGCTAATTATGAACATTTGTGTCCATTAGTTTATATTGTTGATCTTAAGCCACATGCAAAAACCATAAACACACCTTAAAAAAATGTGTAACGACTCTTTTCTCTCAGCAGTTCCATTTCAAATAACGAATTTTTTTTAAATTTTTTGATTGACTTTCTACGATTATGTTGAAACATGGCTCGGTCGAGATATATATTTTTCTATTGATGCGTATCATTTTTGCATAAGCCCTTTTCAAGTGTTAGTCGTGTGCAAAACTAGGGAACCATATATGTAAAATGGCATGTTGAGCAATAACAAACAACTGTGCAAAGTTTCATCATAGGGGAAATGTAGGTAATGTCGGCCTAGATGTCCCTAATTTGGGCCCATCGTTAAAAGTCTGCTATTTATCAATTTTATTTAGATGAACGCATTATTGGGACGTTACTAATGGATATTTTTAGTTGCTATTGAAAATTTAGTTAATTGCTGAATTTATGTATGGGCCCAAATTAGGGACACTTAAGCCAACATTACCTGCATTTCCCCTAATCGTTAAAAGGTCGATCCGAAACGATTTGCGAATCTGTGTGGAACTGCTCCTCTTTAAAAAAAAATATAGACGATCCTATTTTCAATCTGTTTCCCATAAAAATAATCTATAGACCCTAGGAATTCTAGACGTACTACAATTTTTGAAATTCATCCAGAAATTGCTAAGCTATGTCATTGCAAACTTGCCGTAACACGTTTTTCGGAGGCTTTGTTTTCGGCGTAAAGTTTCACTTTCGACACTCTTTTGAGTGCAAAAAATTGTGCATGAAATTCGTTGCTAAATTCGATTTTTTAAAACACTCGTCGTAACTATCCTACTCGGTAAGCTTCGTTGTTTTGCTATGAATAGCTATTTTGATTCTCCACATCATCCTGGAGATCTGATTAAGACTCAACATAATATTCTACACTAACAAGACCAAATGTTAGAACGGATAAACCTTCGTAGAGACTCTTCATATCATTTTGGTTTATTAGGTTCTCCAAAATGCTAGGGCAAGGTATTCTACGATGTGCCGACTAATCTTGTGAGCCCGGTTAGCACTAAGTGCAGAAATTGATTATTTATTTCAGTTCAGGACCATTCATCTCATGTCATCGTCAAGTTCTTTGGTTCGTTGATTGTGTCCGGTCTCGGACACTTGCATGTCAAGTTGTACGTTGTCAATGTTGACAAGGCTGAAGCCGATGTCGGCCCATCTCACCTATACCACACCTTTACTATCGACAGAAAATCAAAACTGCATTTCGAAAAATAACTGCCAGTCAAAACTAAAGGTCAGCGGGCCGAGAACAGGCGTCACGATAGCCGACTGAAGATAGCAAGCCTGCCACCCCAATGTCAATATTGAACAAACGATGTACTCACGTGGAGCGGGATTGCTCTTCCGCACCTCCCATGCCAACGATTGCGGCCGCTGTGGCAGTGGCGTGGCTTCATAATCCCAGGAAACCTTGAACCACTCGGCCAGCGCCCGAAAGTCTCGTATATAGTTTTCCAGCACGAGAATTGCTTCCTGACATGACGGTAAATTTTCGTAGCACTCAACCGTTTGGTAAATTTCGTTCACCTTGAATGAAGTTATGAATTAGTAATTGAAAATGTGCTTTGAGACAAACCAATTACAGATCTTTGCAAGTTTCCGAAGAGAAACGCCCAATAGCGGGCTTGGAGTTCCGACTTTTTGTCCCTTCCCGTCGAGGCGGATCGTACCCGTGGAGCGGACGATTTAGCAGCTGATTTGCTTTGCGAAGCACTCTGAAGCGAGCGTGGCTTAAAGTGCATCGGAGGCTTCCTCATGTAGCTTCCTGCAGAGAAATAAAACACGTTAACATCCCACTGAAATAGCAGAATCTTCTTTACTGGTTTCCCACGACCGCCCACGCATTACTATTTTATGACGACGACGATGTTGCTCAAATTGGTACTTACTGCTGCAGCCACCCTCCTCGCCATCGTCGGACAGATGGTAGAAATTTTTCGCCTCCTTGCCTTCCTGATTAAAGAAGCGTCGATTTTCCATTCTCATCGCCTCTCGTCTTCATTGATTTTTCCACAACTGTGACACGCACAAAACTGGCACCGTTCCCTCGCAACCAGCCCCAACCAAGGTATGCGGACGGTATTCACTTCCGCTTCGATCACCAAAGTGCAATGATTCTTGTGCGGTTCTTCTCGTCGGTCAAGAATCAGTGGGTTGATACCAAAAGCGATCAGAAACTTGCCCACAACTTTCTGTCTGTCGACTCACACGCGATTAGCCAATTTTATCCCGATAAAACACACGCAATTTCCTCCATTCAAACGTTCATCAACATTCGGAATCGAAACGCACACCGAACGTAGCAAATCAGATGGTCGTCGAACCGAGAAATAAAAAAAATGACAACGAAGATACACAAAACATTTGCGATGGACCGACACAAAGGAACAAGAATCGCATAATGCGTGAGAAACACTCGCGAAAGAACCGTCTCAACTCGCGGATTGAAACGCAATGACAAAAATCGGTGGACGCGGGTGGGTGGTATGAAGCGAAACGCCCAAGCAAAACGAAGTTGGGAAAATCGTGCAGACTGTTTTGTTTACGAAAAAGGGAGAAACTGTCAAACATATTTTGTTGATTCGCTTTTTAGCGAAACCGCTGAATTTTGGTTCAGCTCAGTTCACCCGAGTAAGCACCGACGAATCTGATCACTCTAAGAATGAAAAAAGGATTCGCCGTTTTATTGTCCTTCTAAATAAATTTTATCGAATCATACTTTAATAAATTTTGATTTTGCAATCGATCATTTTGGTCACACAATAACGTAGTAGTAAGAACTCAGTTTCTTTATATTTGCGATATTGGTCCTTAGGGGCGATCCATTTATTATTAATTTATTAATTGAGGACAAATTAACCCCCCCTCCTCCCTTTCATGACGTTTTTCCTTCACCTAATACCACAGACAAACAGACATTACACTCACAATCACATTCATCGCAAATAATGTTTAAGTTGAGAATGTGCTAGCATTGAGCAAACATTTCGAACTTATCAGTGATTCCAGTTCTTTTTCACGTCTAGTTAGTAGATGTCAGCTCTTGAAAATGATAAGTGGTCAAGGCATCCCACTGCACACTCAATTTTGAAATCAAGTTCCAGCCAAGCAAATTGCTGAACAGCTTCCAGCAAAACAATGTTCTGCTGTATGTTCAGTAATTTGCAATATTTTGCTGGATACTCAGTAACGTATGTGAGCTCTCATACTATCACCCTTCACTTTCCCGTGTATTCTATTTTGCAATTTCAACAGTGCCAGCTATCTTTATTTTTTTTTTTTTTATTTTTATTTATTTATTTCGTCAACCAACGTAGACTAGTACAATTAATACAGTTTTGTTTTCTTAAATATATATTTATATAAAAAAGTAGTGTCAGTTTTCTTGTCTTTTCTTTTATGAGTTGTTATTTCTTATGGAATAAAAATATTGCTTTAGTTTATGCCGAGACATTGTAAAGTCAATGGTTTCGCAGTGTTTATTGTAAGAGGCCATCATGCGGTTTAATGGCCCATATTTTGCATAATTTGTGCGATGATGTTTTATGGCAAATAAATTTCGATTTCGGAGTTGCCGAGTGGGTGCATGGAAGTTTAATTTTGATAAAAGTTCTGTTGAGTCAATTCGCTGCGAAACGATATCATTTACAAATGAAACCATTGCATATTCACGACGCTCTTTTAATGTTTGTATGTTTATAAGCATGCAGCGTGCTTCATATGATGGAAGAGGAAATGAAGTCCAACCTAATTTACGAAGAGCGTATAATAGAAATTTATATATATATATATATATATATATATAATATATACATTAATAACAGGTTAAAACAATTAGAATAATTGCAAATTTATAGTGAACTCTACATTTAATTTGAAATCTAGTTTGTAATATTTCTATTCTCTGCTTTAATGTAGCTGCAACAATTGTCGGATTAAACACTCAATAAGTATCGTATAGTGTACGATGGATCGAAGGAAAATAATTACCTTTGTTAATTATGAACAACAGTTATCGTCTAAATGTAATTTTTATGCGAAATTTAAAGTGCGTATTATAATACCAAATTAGTTTGTGTTTTATATCATTTTTAAATGCAATTCCAATTCAATCGTATTACAACAAATTACTGATCTTTCAGCAAAATTATTGCCTCTCGGGTTTGCTTGATATACAGTAAATATTACTGGTGTTTCAGTAAACAGCTGTCACTTTAACGTCAGGTCATTTTGCCCGTCGTTCAGCAACAATATTTTGAAAATAAGTGTGTGGAAACACATACCACATCTGACGAATACATAAAAAAAAGTTGTTGAATATTACATCAAAACTGCTGCACATTACACAGCAAAAAAAGTTGTTGAATATTACATCGAAACTGCTGCAACCAGGTCAATCCATCGGTTGTGTAATATCACATTGTACAATGTACATCGATTTTGCGAACAAGATTACATCCATTGATGTAATATTGTATCTGCGTTTTGCTATTACATCATTATGTCATACATCAGCTTGAATTACGTTGATCGATATTACATTTTTTTTTTGCTCTGTAGTCATTCCGTTCCTAATATTACGTTGTACGATGTACACAGAATTCGAGAACAAATCATGTTGACGACTGCAATATTCTAACAATTTTTACCAGTTATCGATGTTCAAAACTTCACCATGAATATCATTGATTGATACAATTTTTTTCTTCTTCTGTGTACACATTGAAGTGATGAGCGGTGGTAGAAAGGGCACTAATAAGTGATGCATTACCTCGTTTAAAAACTTTGTAAAAACAAATCCCTAAAAAAAAAGACTTAGATGAGATGTTTTCCTACGGATCAGTATTTCTGCAGAATTCAATCAATTCTATAGATCTAAGGAAAATTTCATAGAACCAACATCACTGACTGCCATCTGTTTTGTTTTTATTCAACACAGCTGACGCGTTGACAGAACGAGGGAAAAGCAACTAGTGAAAAAAATGCATGCACGAGGGATGCTCCGGTTGCAAAACATTGCTTGGGAATGTAGATGATAGATGGTGCTAGCACAAACGAAGTGACAGACGGAGCGGCTCGAAAACTTTGGTGACGCACCTGCTATTGCAATTTTTCAGTGTACCACATGGCAACACCACTACTACTGGATTGTACCACATGGCAACACTACTAAAGGATTGTACCACATTTTTTTTTTCATTTCGTTTATTTGGCAGGCTCAAATGTTATAAAAATAACTTAGCGGAGCCGAGTAACATAGAATACCAATTATGGTATTCAAAATACAAAAAAAAAATACATACAAATATATTTTATCATATGATTTTTCTGGGTGGCGATCGAAGCGGCGACAAAGCAATCTTCTCCCGTGCACGCAACTTCTTTCTTTCCCGAATTTGTTCCTCATTTTCATTGAACCCGAATCGTGATCGCTGCTGCTGTTTCTGAACATCGTTTCCCGTTGCATGCTCTCCGCTACTCTCGTCGGTCGTCGGGGTAGTCACGTCCATTTCGTTATCTTCATTCAACATCTCCAACCCCGTGTCCGTTTCCTGATCGCTAATGACAAACGACGCACCTTCCACCACTACACCAGCATACGTACTGCTGCTGTTTTGATTTCTTTCACTTTGCTTTCCTTTTTCCTTCTGTTGCTTCTCCGGTTCCTTCCGAGCCTTCCGCTTGGGACAGGAAAGCTTCCGGTGTCCGTCCGCCTTGCACAGAAAACATTTATCTTTGTTGCCATCATAAAAATATTTCCTTTGCGATTGAAGAAATGTAATGACGTGGGGATTTCCTTCTTCACATCCATATATACACCGCGTATCCCTGTATATACCTCAAAACACAGATCAGTTGGAAATTTCTCCCGGATGATGCGTTTAATTTTCCCATATTTCCCCAGCACTTTATCCAGCTCGTTGTCGGGTACCTCTGGTGGCAAGTCATACACACGCACATATTGAATAAATTCACCAGCATGCGACATGCGTACCTTTGTCGTCGTTCCATTCGCATAATGGAATATTAAATCCTCCGAATTGAATGTCAGAGCATGGAGCATCGCTTCCTCTGATTTGAACTTCATGAAGACTCCCCTTTCCTCACCAATGCGATAAACAGCTTCCATTTCAGCCGGATCCGCGTCGAGTGCTTTGGCGAAATTTACTATCTCTCCGATGTTTGGTTTGGCATCACAATGGCTGAAGCTAAACTTGATGGTGTTTTTTACTTCACACGTCTTGCACCGTAGCAACAAAAGGCACCGAACTGCTAGCAACGAACAATGAGCAACTATATAATAGCGAGTCTCGAAAACAGGCTATCGTGTGGTTCACAACGAAATAAAAAATCGACTGCTGCTGTAGACAGCTGTGGGACAACTGGATTGTACCACATGGCAACACTAAATGTACTAGAATGTTTTGGTTCTATCATAGAGGTATCTCTAAGACCAGAAGGTCCCGACGAAACGAGCTCAATTTTTTGGCTCAGCTCTGGTACTATCTTCGGTCCCAAGCTAATCGATTCACCCCTCGAAACTTAGGAAAATCCACTAACCCCTCATTTCATCTGTCAAACTTTCATACACAGCAAAAAAAGTTGTTAAATATTACATCGAAACTGCTGCAACCAGGTCAATCCATCGGTTGTGTAATATCACATTGTACGATGTACATCAATTTTTCGAACAAAATTACATCCTTCTTCTTCTTCTTCGCATTTCAAGCTTATTGCATATCGTATATTAGCTTATTGCGTGTTCTCAACTTAGTGTTCTAGATGCACTTCCACAGTTATCAATTGAGAGCTTTCGATGCCTGTACCATTTTTGCATTAGTATAATTGTGTGGCAAGTCCAATCATACTTTTATGCCCAGAGAAGTGGAGACATTTTCCAACCCGAAAAATTCCTAGACCGGATCGGGAATTGAACCCAGCCACCTCCAGCATGGTCTTGCTTTGTAGCTGCGCCTTTACCGACTGAGCTAAGGGAGGCCCCACATTACATCCATTGATTGTATCTGCTTTTTGCTATTACATTATTATTTCATACTCAGCTTGAATTACGTTGATCGATATTACATTTTTTTTTGTTGTGTAGCGAATCAAAACAAACATAGTGTAGTACTGGAATTTATATTAGAATAGGATACGTTAGTCGATTTGCTTGGGACCAATAGGCTAGTTAAGTAGAGAGCCAATTTGAAATCGTTAGTTTCGTATTGATTGTTAGTACTACTTCAAAACGCATTAATTACTTTAAGTACTTTTGATTGCATTTTAACTTCAACGCACCGGTTCTTTGTATTGCGTGCCCCTCGATCAAACCGGAGGAACCCCACAGTATCGAAGTCACTCTGTCGTTTCTGATGCCGATCGGAAGAAAAACGAAAATCTTAAATGGATTTCGAATCTATTCCGGATCCTACAGCCCCCCCCCCCCCCTCCACCAACACTGAAAGAGGCCGATATGAGAAACGAGTTGAAAACGACAAAACCACGCTAATATCACAAAGTTTCACTGGTTTTTCTGAACTGGAACCCCCGACGGGTCCCCGCATCTCGGACCAGGACCCCAACATCCACAGCCCCCCTAATAAAAATGTTATGGTTAATTTGCTTAACGACGTGTTCGGGGTATCATCCAAACCATTTGTGGAATAGTTCAATGATTTGGGTTATCGTTCGTTTATGGTATTTTTTTATTAGGGCCACCCTTAATCGCTATCATAACTAAGCCCTAGAAAAAAAAATCATTATCCAGGTTTTCATTGTCCAGTGCCTGGCTGTGATGTTTTTTAATAAAATAGAATCCGAGCTATCTTTATTTCATCATTGACGTAAATTAGAAAACTCCGAAATTAATCAAAAATTATGCATCCTCATCATATTTAAATTCTATAAATGATTACTTTTTCTCACATTTTGCAGTAAGAACCGTACTTGAAAAATGTGTAAAAAATAATTTATTGACGTTTGGTTTACACCCATTTTTTTCACGAAACGTGTAAAATTTTACACATTAATGTGTTGACACTGGCTACCGTGTATCCTTTGATCACATAACAGAAGGGGAAGTGCAGACAACTCGATGAACCAAAAAGTGGTACGTTGTTCTGCTCAACCAGCGATGCGTTGTGGTAGCGGGCTTTCCATTCGCACTCACACTATCATAGCACGCTGCCTACCTTAACTGCAGCTAGAATATGCCTTCTACCGCTAGGTGTGCTAGTGTTCTCCAATGAAAAATGGAGCCACTTTCTGATCCGAAGTTCCCCTTCTGTTCTGTGCTTTGATGGCACCAGTGTGTACAGGTCTGAATCTCAGCGACTTTTTGACAGTTCCGGACACTTCTTGTCATTTTTTTTTGCTTGCATGTTTTATTCCACTTCCACCAGCTCTTGGTCGAAATAAAAAAAATATAAATTTTCTTCCTCCCGCACACGACACCGTTTTGATGTGGAAAAACTTTCGCCAGCCACACACAGTACAGTTTTTCTTTCTCGTTCGCGCACATAACAACTCGCCATCATCATCGGAATTTTTCATTTTCATGTTACAGAGCAGCAGCAGCAGCCACAGCGGCAGGCAGGCAAGCAGCAGTGGAAAAATCAGTTTTCGATCAGACTCGCACTTTTCATGATGCGTTGTCATTGCAAGGAGAACCATCAGAAAAAGTGAAACATTCCTCCACCGTCGCTGCCGTAGACATTTCAATATAGTCAGCCCGACGGGAAGCGAACTATACTGGGGATGTTGAACTATTTTTAGTGCAATAAATGATTCCTTTAGGGGAAAGTGATTCGTGTTTTTGGCGATTGAATTTCAAATTGAATTATTCGCAGAATCGGTGAAAAGTTGGCGGAGAAGAGAGCCGAGAAAAAAATAGTGACGAGTTATGTGAATTTTCATCTTTTTCTTGTTGTTCCGCGTCCAGTCAAGTGTAACGCCAGCGAAACTGTGATGATTTGAACGGATTGATGAAATAATTGTGGCAGAGTGGAAATTTTTTTCCTACGTTGATTTCTGTTGGTTTTTAGGTTCCACAAAGAGTGTTTTGCGTCTGTGTGTGAAAGGTAAAAAAAAAAGTGGGGCGTAGGAGAAAAGTGCTGCGGCAGACGGCAAAGGACGAGCAGGACGACGACGGCGACGGGAACTAGGTTGTCTGGAACATCCGGAAAAGATGGCAGCGCCCAAGGATTTGGAGCTCTTGCGGACGGAAATCGAGCGCCTCAATCGGGAGCTCGATCAGGCCAGCAGCGAGAATATTCAATCGGCCAAGTACGGTCTGGGGTTGCTCGAGGAGAAACAATCCCTGCAGTCCAAATGCGAGGAACTGGAGGCTCTGTACGAGAATGCGAGACACGAGCTGGAAATCACACAGGAGGTATGTGAATGACATGTTTAATTATCAATTTCGTGTAAGGTAGGCGAACGAGTGATACAATTTATTCACACTGTGTGGTGGCACTGTGCGATGTTGTTGTTGCTGTTGGTTCATGACGACGACGACGATGATGGAAAGTGCACTCAGGTGTGCGAACGAATTTCGAGAGATAGGATCACGTCATCTGTCAGACACAAAAACCCATCGGCCAGAGCTGCCAGATAGGGCTCTACAACGTTAAAGCTGTAAGTTAAAGGCTAACGAGAATTCTGTTTGTGAGTAATATTTACTCGAGAAATTTGACACGAATTTCTAAACACTAGTTCTTACTTGATTTTAAAATTCTCTGAAATATCTTTAAAAGTTTGTACAGGAATTTCAGTTTTCCTTCTGTAATTCGTCCAGCATTCCTGCAGGAATTCCATTATAATTGTGTTATGATCTTTCAGTTATTAGGATTATGATAACTAATTTGAACTTCAGTTTAAGTGAAACGATGATTCCTAGATCGTTCTTGATCACGCTATACGGGCCCGTTCAAATATTACGTAATGCAAAAATGGCATTTTTACAAACGGGTTATGTAAAATCGGTTTGTGTGAATTGGCCCTACCATGATCAAAATCGTATGCACGTGTGACCGTTATTATCAACAATAAATGGTAATCAATTCCGTTCATACCAGTGCAGTCGGTAGAGTTGGTCATTTTACGTTATCTGTGAAAACCAAAATAATCTACCAAGGGTTTCATAAGATACCGCAATTTAAAGATTGTAAGCAATTTTCCCCTGAATATGAATATTTCTGCGCACATTTATTAAACTGTAAACATTTTCCGTCGTCAAAAAATTTTATAAGTCGCGATAAAAAGGAGTATTATTATTATTTAGCTTTATTTAGGAGGCTTTCAGCCTTAGGCTGGTTCGCCTCCAACAAATAAAAAGGAGTACTCATCCAGCGGAGGGAGTATCTCAACCGAATCAGTACCACCGAGAACCGCGGACGCTAATTTTTGCCAGTCGATGTTTTTCGTGAGGTCGTACGCGATATCAACCGAGCGAGTGGAAGATGAACCATTGGTAATAGAAATTTTGATTGGCAAGTGGTCACTACCGTAGGGATCTTGAATTACTTTCCACGAGCAATCCAACGATAGTGAACTCGAACTGAGGGAGAGGTCTAATCTACTTTCTCTTGCTGGAGGTTTGGCCACTCGTGTTACTTCCCCAGTGTTTAGAATTGTCATATTGAAGTTATCGCAAAGGTCGTATATCAGGGTTGAGCGGTTGTCATCGTACAGTTCCCCCCAGCCTGTACCGTGGGAGTTAAAATCTCCTAAGATCAACCGAGGCTCAGATAAAGCTGAGTAGATATCTGAGAGACCTTGGCGAGAAATCGCAGTTCTTGGAGGAAGATATACTGAGGCAATACTGAGGCTTTTACCTCGAATATTTACCTGACATGCGACAACTTCAATGCCTGTCACGGAAGGCAGATCGATTCTATGAAAGGAATGGAGCTTATTAATCCCGAGAAGCACCCCTCCATACGAATCTGCTCGATCAAGGCGAATAATGTTAAAATCGTGGAAAGGGAGATCGGTGTCTGAAGAAAGCCATGTTTCACAAAGAGCAAATGCATCACAAAGTGAGTTGTGAACTAAAAATTTGAATGTGTCAAGTTTCGGTATAAGACTTCTACAGTTCCACTGAAGAACAGAGATCATATCCCCGACCTCATTCGGAAAATTATCCTTCAAAGGATATGATCGATGCAAGGAAGGACCACCTAGAAGCTAGTTGCTTCAAAAGAGTTTTCACGAATGGAAGCACTAAATTAATAATGTTCCGAGTTGAGTCAGAGAAGTTGAATATATTGAAGATGCTCTCCACAATTCCAGAAAACGTGAACATGGCATCATGTTCTTTCTGATTATTCAGCTGTTTTTCTGGCTGAAAAACTGGGATATCTGGGGTTTTAGATGATCCCGGAAGTGGCGGAAAGTCCTTGTTAAAATTACAAGATTTAAATCCCGGTGGTGGGGGTTTCGGTACATTTCCACTACCTCTTAAATTTGTCAAGGTAGGTTGGGAGTCCATAAGAGAGGTCTTACGCGGATTTTGAGTGACGTTTTTTTTAATCGCTTTATCGTGTTGCCTTTGAAGACAAAGGGACTACCTTCACCAACCTCTGAGTCAGAGCCCTGATCATCATCTGGCAAAATGGAGTATGTGTTTTTGGTTTTTGGGGTGGTTTGGGAAGATGAAGCGGTGTTTTTTAAGAGTTCTGCAAGTGACCTCTTGGAGCGAGCTTGCAAAGACCGCTTAAGTTTTTTTCCCTGCTGTTTGTACTTCGGGCAATCAACCAAAGCATGCAGAGTATCCTTGCAGAACGATCAACTTTGTAAGCCTCTAATATTTTATGCAACTTAGTTAAATTTAAAGTAAGTGTCATTACAACATCACTGTACAAAGAACATAAGTTACTTTTTTGTTTTGTTCCAAATGAGGTAATATGATTCAGGCGCATTCTCAAGGCCGGGTCCCATTTTAGTGATTTTGTCACTTTTTTGTAGGTGGTCTCTTAAATGTAACCTTTTTCAACAAATAGTCAATAGTGGTAAGCGTGATTACCTCTCGCCCCAGCAGGCCTGGGTTCAATCCCAGTCGGCGCCGCCGGGATGTTCTGAGGCATAATATCTCTGATCACGCCGAAGTAAAGCCGTTGGTCCCCGGTTCATGAGTTGATGGGTCGATAGGTAGGGTCCAGGTGTGGGAGTTGCCTCCCTGGCGTCGGTGGCATTGGTGCTCAGCACAGAAAACAAAATCATGAAAAAAAAAACAAATTCTCGATTACTTTTTCAAAGGGGCGTATCAGCTTTTGTAAACAATGTATTTTATCGTCGATTTGGCGTAGCTGGCAGCTCACTCACGCATGCTAACACTGTCATCAGACAGAAGAAGTTTCCTCTAACTGATAGTGGTGTTAGTATGCGTGTGCGAGCTACCAGTTACGCCAAATTGACGATAAAATGCAAGGGGGGGGGGGGGGGGAGGTGGCTGTCAAATACGAACAATCGTCTCCTACCTCGCATAACTGGTTCCAGACATAAAAAAGCCATAAGAAACCTATAGGGTTTGTTAACGTTTGGAACCAATTTCATACAAGAATGATCAGTAGGCTGATTTGACAGCACGTCCCACCCCAGATAAAATGCATTGTTTACAAAAGCTGATACGTCCCTTCGGAAAAGTTATCGAGCAATAGTCACTAAAGTCACGTTTTTCGCCGGGTTACTTCTACTCAGTTATGAGAAATTTATAAAAACTGCAGGTACTCAGCGCTGAGTTCCTGCAGTTTTTAGAAATTACTCCATACCTCTGAGTAGAAGTGACTCTCCCTCTGAGTTATTCTCATTGGCCATGTGCTTGAATTGCAATGAAAAATTCGTTTAATGACATAAAAGGTGTTACTGTGCTTGTATACTTAGTCCATAGTTGGAAGTTCATAAAATTAATGACTTTACAAAAGGGATATCAATAACATGGAAATCAGTGATTATTAGAATTCTATCGATGCAACTACAATAATCATTTTCGTACAGAGAGGTACCGTTGTTTGCGAATGGATTTTTAGTCTTTTTTTCTGGATACCTGTTTTTTGGTATTAAAGACACCACTTGCGGTCAGTATTCTTACTACCAAAGATCAAGCGACTAGGAATTGGAAAAATAGAATACCGACTATAACTCCATTTGCAAACAACGATACCATTTTTGGTCCTAAGAGATGAACTAGCCTATGGCTAAAAATCTCTATAATTAAGAAAAAAAAAAAAAAAAAAAAGACATTTTTGGTCCCGGTCCATGTGTGTTTGAATGGGTGCGATATCCTACGCAGGTGTGGAAGCTGTCTTCCTGTACATTCGATTGCCGTCAATGGATGGCAATCAATGTCCGTCGGTGATCGGCACTAGATTTCGGAACAGAGACCGACGTTAAATAAAGGAAGCATTACAAATTCAGGCCGTTCCAGAAGAGAACCCCGAGGATACGGAGCTAGGGGATGGGTGGGAGCTCCAGAAAGGAGTACAAACGAAAAGTACGATGTTGGAGAAAATTCTTCAGAAAATGGATAATGTGTGCCTTGGCGATGTCTAAAGTGGCTAGCCCCACGTGCTGGTTGGCATCCCTCGCGTCCCGAAGTACCTGATTAAGTGTGGCGAAATAGGTCCCAATGCCATGTCCGGGACGGAAGGCGTGCTGGCGATGGTCAATGTAGCCGTTACTCTCCAAGTAGAGCACGAGTCTACGATTGACCATCCGCTCCAGCACCTTGCTGACACAGCATGCTAAAGAGATTGGTCTGAAATCCTTTGGCTCGCGACTCGCAGCTCCCTGCTTAGGAATTGGGACAACTAGACTGTGCCTCCATTCTTCCGGAATAGTATTTCCTAGCCACTCGCTGTTGAGTAGGCTGTGAAGGGTACGTTTGCTTTCCAGTGGCAGATTTTTTAACAGAGGGTATTCCACTTCATCCGGCCCAGCTGATTTGCGGTGAGCCTTGGACAAGGCTAAGTCAAGCTTCTTGGCCCAAAAGTATTAAGAATAAGATACTGATTACATACGGTTGCTTGCTTAAATTCATCTAAAGCAGTTAGAAATCCCTAATAAAAATAACCAAAAAAAGAGAGCTTAACGACGTGTTCGGGGTATCATCCAAACCATTTGTGGGATAGTTTACCCATCCGAGATACAGTTCGTTTATGGTATTTGTTTACAGTACGTTTTATACAGTTTGTTTATGGTATTTGTTTATTCAAACCGCATATAAATTATTCTCATGAGTGTTTGATCATTGGAAAGCAAATGATAGGTAGTTTCGTCTCGTAATAGTGAGATGACCTGTTTTCTCATTGTCACATGACGGCCGTGATATTTACCATGTTCCAGATTACGTCTAAGTCCCTTTCAATTTTGCATTTATCTACTATTTCTTTT